GCCGACCCCCCACACCTCCGGCGCAGGGAAGCCACGCGCGTGCCTGCCCCGGGGCTGACCCCCCCCGCACGCGCCTCCCCCCGGGACTGACTCACTCTTCCTGTGTGGTGCAGGGAGACAATGCTCCCTCCCGCAGTACACCCGGCAGAGCAGCTAGTGTACTTCCGGAATCACCGGAAATGGCGCTAAGCTGTGGGACTTCTGTCCATCCCGGAAAGCCGACACTACCTTCATTTTCACTTGAGGTAGGTAGTGGGACTTCTCGGGGGTGGGAGGGAAACGTGGGCAGGGCGGACAGGACGCCTCGTGATTGTCTGGTCGAGGCCTCGCGATCGACCAATCGATCGCGATCGACCTGTTGGTGACCATGGAACTAGTCTAAAAATTCTTCTGAGTTATCCTTGTTCAATGCTGTTGACTCTATTGATGTAACAGAGAGTAAAACTTGACCTACTTAAACTTGTTCCACATTTTAGGCTAAATCCTTGCAACAGTTCTACAGGGTGGATCTCATCTCAATGGCAGAAATTGAGGTTTATTTTGACAGCAGTGCAAAAGGGCTTGGTGTTTCCATACTTCAAATAATGTTTTGCCTCAGCTGTACTCACATCCCCATTGGGGGCAAATTGATCTCCAAAAGGGCAGTCTTTTGGCCATTCAAAAGGTGTTTTTAGCCAATTCACCCTACGGTATTTTAGATTCTATTGTCCTAGCACTGGCTGAAATTAAAGCCATATGAGATGCAAAAATTACTCCACCCCTTAGGTGGAAAAATTATCCACAACATCCTCTTGAACTTTGGAGACACTAGGGAGAGGAATGGACACTCGGTTTGTGCTGTGTATCCCCCACATACTCCAGCTTTGCCAGTGTAAAGTTCTGAACAAAAACATTTTGCATTCCAGCTCACAGCATGGATTTAGGACAATCCCATATTCATTAAAAATGGTTTGGCAGTTATCACTTTGCTCCCATGTTTTGTGAAATGTGAAGGGAATTCATACTTTCTTTGCTCAGGTCAACACTCTGAAGCCAAAAGATTAAGGATGAATCTTGCCAGGAATAAAATAAAAAACAGCAATAGATAATATATAGGGTGACCAGGTTTCTTTTTGCTGTTTTTTGAATCCCCTATGGAGACACTGTTCACCCACAATGTGAGAGAGTCATCCACCCTTTGCACTCACTGGGAGTCATAACAGTGAAGTGACAGACATGTAAGACAACTGCTTTGGTACTTCTGAGTGCCATCATCTGCCAAAGCACAATTGGTTTGCCAAGCCAGAGAGAAGGGGTGGTGTGCATGCAATTTGGCAGAATCTGTGCAAATTGCTCTGGAATTCTACCCGTTGTTTTCTTTCTTGACTTTTTTTAAACCAACTTCTTCACCCAACCCTTAGCCAAAGTAGTTGACTTGGCAGTATCAAGGCAGATGGCTATTACACCAAGGAACGGTGCCCCCAGGCTATGGAGTTTCTGCAGAAGCTGTGATAGCCATAAATCACAATTCAACAAAGTGTTCAAGCACATAATTAACTTTAAAGGTGTAACTTTAAGTCCATCCCTGTTCAGCAAAGCATTTAAAGGTCTGCTGAAGCATAAGTGTGTGAGCTAGTCCTATTGAAATTAATGGGACTCAGACACATGATTAAAGTAAAGTATGTAATTTAAGTGCTTCATGAGCTGAGACCCAAATGTGCCCCCTCCACAGAAGATAAGTGGATGGGAAGATCCAAATAGCAATATGTTGTTCAAGAACAAGATTCCTATTGTCATGTTATAATGCAATACCATTGTTTCTTCTGCTTTAAAAATGCTATGTCACTACAATTCTGTAATGTCATCCCCTGATTTCACAACTATAAAGGTTGTATTTCCACATTGTAGATTCTACTAAAAACTGGACTTTCCTATGTATATGGTATAGTATACTGGCCTACCTGCATCATTTCTGTATACAGTATGGCTGTGTCTGATTTTACGGAAAAACTTGCCAGCTGTCTACACTGGTCGCTTGAATTTCCGCAAGAACACTGACGATCTCATGTAAGATCATCAGTGTTCTTGCGGAAATACTGTGCTGCTCCCGTTTGGGCAAAAGCCCTTTTGCGCAAATCATTTGCGCAAGAGGGCCAGTGTAGACAGCACAGTACTGTTTTGCGCAAAAAAGCCCTGATGGCTAAAATGGCGATCGGGGCTTTTGCCACAGGCGCTTTTCTGCAAAAAGCGCTTTTGCGGAAAAGCGTCCTGCCAATCTAGATGCGATTTTCCAAAAATGCTTTTAATGGAAAAGCTTTCCGTTAAAAGCATTTCTGGAAAATCATGCCAGTGTAGACGTAGCCTATAGGAGCTACAACCTGCAAATTTCACAGCCAAAGGGGAAAATGTTTCTAAAGTGCAAGTGTCAGTTACATGACAAATTCTGGTGTGCTTTAGAAAAATCTCCTGCAGCCAGTACAGGAGGCAGGAAACAGAGTTGGAAATAAGAGCTTGCTTGGAGGTCTATTGGGGGGAGAAAAAAGGAGGCAAGCCCCCGAGTGCTTCCTTGCTTGCTTGCTGGGTATGATATTTTGGAGGGGGGTTGGTGGGCAGTGGCTGGTTGGAGGCAGTGTGCTGTTATAGAAGAACCTTTGATTACAGCAGAGCTCCAATTGGTGGGGCTTTCCTGATGAGAAGACATATGAAGGCAAACAGGCAATCAGCCAGTGGCACAGATTGCATTTGTGATCTTGAGTTTTACCTGCAGTCTCTTCTAACTTTTCCTTCATCATCTGCTCAAATCCCCTTCATAAATCCACTGTAGTTTCTCTATCTAAAACTCCAATCTTCTCTTCCATTAGCTTTAGAAGGCAGCACTTCCTGCAAATGAAGCTCTTTTCCAAGCACTGCTCCAGGATAACACACAAACCACAGCTTCCACATCCAGGCATCTTGATTCTCTCTTCCATTCCTCTAGCTGCCAACGCCTTCCGTCCCACCTCCTGTTAGAGAGAAAAAAGAGAACACGCTTACACCCCAAATCCAGAAGACCACATCTGTGTACTGTCTGTCAAGAGATAAGATACGACATGTGAATCTGAGGCTAAAGAGGATCTTAATGTGAGCTGGAAAGAATCCACTGATTGCCCTTTATGTGGGAACAAATGACACATGTAGATTCTCACTGGAAAATGTCAAGGAAGATGTGCCAGCCTGAGGAAGACACTTAAAGAAATAGAGGCTCGGGTGATCTTCAGTGAGATTCTACTGTTCCTAGATCTTCAGTGGGATTTTACTTGTCCAAAGGAGGGCTTTGGGATGTTTAACTAGTATGTGGCCATCGTGGATAGAGAACTGTTCTCGTGGGATGTATTCCACCTAAATAAGGAGAGAAATAGACTTCTGGGATGGAACTTGGCAAAAATTGATTACAAGAACTTTGAATTAGGAATTTGGGGGAGATGGTTGGGAGATGGTCATGTAATCTCCATGCCTGATTCTAGTATTGGCTGGAAGGAAAATCCAAGTGAGAGAGAATACAACAGTGGAGAAAGGAACAACAGAGAATGTGCAAATGGACATCAAGAGGAAAGATGGTGCCAATACTAATGATGCTAACAGATAAGTGATACTGTTGGTAGAATGAATGTAACTAATCAGGGAAGGAATCTGGGTGAAGCCGAATAGAAACAACTAAGATATTTCTATGCCAGTGCAAGAAGTGTGGGTAACAAAAGAAGGAACTAGAACCAGAACTATTGACACCGGAAGTGAAGCCAGATATCACTGGGATAATGAACGTGATGGAAAAGTAATCATGACTGGAATACAGGTACAGATATGACCAGTTCAGGAAAGACAGAAAAAAGGTAAAGATGATGGAGTATATTAATAATGAGATAAACTATAAAGAAGTTAGAAGTGATGGAATGGGAAATACAGAGTCTCTATTTCAGTGAAAAATCACTGTAGGGAGGAAAGGTAGCAGAGGCTCCAGGGGGATAGTGTTTTGGGTCTGCTTTGGAGAGAGACCTCATTAATGCTTTTAATGAAATGCTGCTGGGAATTGCATCATTATGGAGGACTTCTATTTCCTTGATACCAGAGGGCAAATGCTTCTAATGATAGGGCCCAGATATTCCTAGGAGGTGAAAGCTAACCAATTTCTTCACCAACCAGTCATCCAACCAACAAGAGATGATGCCATTTTTAGATTTAGTATTGATAAGTAGTGAGTATTTCATAGAACTGGTTGTAGAGGACAGCCTTGGTTGGAGTGATCACAAGCTAATAGTTTAAACAAAATGGAAGGATAAATAAAAATTGATCTGCAGCTAGGATTTTTTATTTCAAAGAGATTAACATTAAACAATTACTAGAATTAGTTAGGGAAGCAGACTGGACTGAAGAACTCAATGATCTGAATATGGAGGAGGTTTGGAATTACTTTAAGCCAAAGTTGCAGAAGCTGAGTCCTGCATCCCAAATAAAGAAGAAATTCATAGGGAAGGGTTGCAGACCAAACTGCATGAGCATGGTGATTAAGAAAAAGTGGAAGACCTACAAGGAATGGAAGATGGGAAGGATCTGCAAGGAAAGGTAATGATGATCTTAAGAGTATGCCTAATGGAGATCAGGATATAAAAGTAGACATGAATTAAAAATCTTTGTTTCGACTTGCAATTTCATGGGTGGAGATTATATAGACTGTCCAGTTTTGTCCCATTAAACTGTTTGACTTTGACTTCCACAAATAATCTGTAAACTCAAGAGTCATACTCATAAAGGAGAATTACAAATATAGTACTATTTTTAATAAAGGAGGAAAAAATGATCTGGGAAACTGCAGGACAAATTTTGAGAGATTAGTGAAGGATTTAAAGGTGAACAGGGATAAAATGCTGCATGGCTTTCATAAGGTAGCTCATGCCAGACTAATCTCTTGGGTATGTCTACACTACAAAGTTAGTTCGAACTAACGGACGTTAGTTCGAACTAACTTTCATAGGCGCTACACTAGCGCTCCGTTAGTTCGAATTTAATTCGAACTAACGGAGCACTTAGTTCGAACTAGGTAATCCTCATTCCACGAGGATTAAGCCTAGTTCGAATTTACTAGTTCGAATTAAGGGCTGTGTAGACCCTTAATTTGAACTAGTGGGAGGCTAACCCTCCCCAGGTTTCCCTGGTGGCCACTTTGGCCATCACCAGGGAAACTCGTCTGCCCCCCTCCCGGCCCCGGACCTCTTAAAGGGGCACGGGCTGGCTACGGTGCCCGTGCCAGGTGCAAG